CTCTCTCTCTCTCTCTCTCTCTCTCTCTCTCTCTCTCTCTCTCTCTCTCTCTCTCTCTCTCTCTCTCTCTCTCTCTCTCTCTCTCTCGTGCGAGTTCTGAGTCTCATTGATTTGACTACCTTAGGGTTGCGTTCCCCGCGCCCACGCGGTAGACAATGGTTTCTTTCACAGGGGTTGCAAACACGCCCCTTTTCTTTCACAACACAATTGTGCGAAGCCCACCAAGAGCACCCATTCGAAATGTGCAAAAAAGGGCCCTGCGCACTAGCAGGTTGAGTTTCCTCGATGCCTAAATATGAGAGTATTGGCAGCCCGTTCGCAGCCCGTCAGGGTTGCGTTTCCCCCCCTGAGACATTTCCACGTCACTCCGATTTCAACGTCCGTGGTCCTCGAGAGTGTGGGCATTTTTAGGTTTTGGGGCTTAGCAAGGGGAGGGGCGTCCGAAGGACCAGTAGCTGGCCATAGGAGGCCGGTCCTTGAGTTTTGAACATTCCGAAATAGAAATGGTGTGGGTCCGGGGGAACACCAACCAACCCGGATCTCTCCCCAGCCCACGGGGTATGAGATAAATGAGTATTAGCAAGAAAAATGAGATAGATGAGAGAAGAATATAGTTTAAAAAATAATAACAATTGAAAATGTGCTGAATTGGCGCGACGATTATGACGCAGTCTAAATGTTTTTTTGTAAATGTTCTATTATTATTTCTGGAAAGAACACAACCTCATCTATGGATTCTCAAAATTTTAGATTTTTGTGCATGTTCGTCTGAGCACAGAAAATTGTCAAAGTTGCCTTTTTGCAAAACACCTGTTTCGTTGTGCCTGACCTGCCTGTTTTGAGAAGACGGGGCTCAACGCCTGGGCCTGAGGGCCCTTTTGCAGTTCACATGCCCTCACTTCTTTTTGGGGTCCGCTTCTACCCGAGGACCGGTCCAATCTCACTTCTTTTTGGGGTCCGCTTCTACCCGAGGACCGGTCCAATGCCCCCCAGTTCTTTTTGGGGTCCACTTTTACTCGAGGACCGGTCCTTCGTTTTTCCAAAAGTCCCGGTTCTACCAGAGCTAGCTGTAGGTAGTCCGCAATTTTGGCAAGGACCGGTCCCCCAAATTTTTTTGCCCCCCTAAGAACCCACTTTGCGTCCTGGTCGCCCGCCGCCAAAAATGCGACACCTTGACACAGACGCCGAAGCCCACTATACCGCAGCCTAAGGGCTGCGAATAGTCCTGATAAACCTGCGGCCTCACATGGGGCCTTCCTACACCGGCCCTATGGGGACCACCAAGATCGACCGACGCTCTTGCGCCCGTCGATACCGCCCCTACGTGGTCCCGTAGGGGCGGTATCGGCGCGCGTCGATCTTGGTGGTCCCCGTAGGGCTGTAGCGCGGACCACCAAGATCTACGCTCTTGCTTTTTGGTCTTCGTGGTCTTCAAAGGCAACCATCCTGGCTGCAAACAAAAAGCAAGAGCGTCGATCTTGGTGGTCCCCGTAGGGCCGTAGCGCGGTATATCAGCATACGCAGCCATCCTGGCTGCAAACAAAAGCAACCAAGCTAAGCGCAGCCTCCCGGCTCGGGTGGCCCCTTGACCGCTGCCTCTTCTCCACCCCGCCAGCCCGCCTGTCCTCCTAAATAAATCCCTCCTTCCGAGCCCAGTACCGGTTTCTCGCAGCCCGGCTGGGGAAAATCCTGGCCTGTTGTGGTCACCAGTTCGTCCTGCAAAAACAAGGCCCTCCCTTGTTGAGAGGTGGTTTGCTGGGCATTCTTGTGGTTTTGTGTTTCTGCGACCCTCTCTCTCCGCCGCGTGGCGTTCGTTCCTTTCCGTTCCCGCCAATGCCGCTTTTGCGTCTCCTCCGCTATCATCGCCCGAGGTAATGGCACGTCAGCATCTCAATGGTCTTTCCGCTACATCCAGGTCATCCGTGCGCAGGACCTGTGCCGCTGCCCGATCTCTGAACAACGTAATGACATGCATTTATGCAATTGGCCGCGGCTTGATTACGTATGCTATCCCTCGCCCTCCTCCTTCCGTCACATTTCTCGCGCCACGTGGCCCGCTGTCAATCTCTGTCGTATCGACTCCTGATTGCCACGTCACTTCCGGCCCGGGAGTCGTATCTTGCTCCCTGTTGTTATACACTGCGCCAATCATTGACGACGCGGTCTTGTAGGACCGGACGGAGGGAAGGAAGGGAGATGCAATCAAGGATGCATGGACCGAACGACGGGAAGGCAAGGACAAAATGCAACTGAGAGAGAAAGAGGGAGAGGGGGGAGCGGGGTGGACGTGAGGACTGGAACATGCGCTCCCGAGTTGCCTACGTAGGTCTATGTTCCTCTTCTTGGGACAGAGGAAACTGGAGCCGCTTGGGAGAGTGATCACATTTTCCGTAAGGCTTCGCAGTCATCGACTATTAATGAATGGAATCAATTCCTGCCAGTGGGGATTGGAATGACAGTTCGAACCGCGAAGGAAGTACGCGGTCGTAATTTATTCAAGGACAGGGAAGCCAACTGGGCGGCCAACCAACTATTTATTGTGTATGTGTGCGTGAGAGAGAGAGAGAGAGAGAGAGAGAGAGAGAGAGAGAGAGAGAGAGAGAGAGAGAGAGAGAGAGACGGGTGTGCGCTTGCTAGTAGACGTGGCGGTGGAGAGGAAGAAGAGCCTAGCGTTGCATCCGGCAATAGTGTCGTGCAGCTCTTGACGGAGATCACGCTCCCTGTGTTCTACCTGCTCCTGCTTTCTCTTTGACGGATCTTTTATTTTTGACAGATTCTGAGGGACTCAATTTGGTTAAGGATGCGGTTTTTCACTTGAGGAGGAGGAGGAGTCGGCAACTCAAGGTACTCTAATCAAGCCATTCATCAAAGAGGCCAGGCATGGCTGCTGGGTGGACGGAAGGCCGGTCTGCAGCGGGTGAGACGAGCAAGGTCAGTTCTATGTCTAGCGGTGATTACCTTTCCTCACCTGTTTTTCGTTTGTATTGTTTTTTTTGAAGTCGTCGCATGGTTTTGTAATCTTCTTGATGGCGCTTTGTTCTGCCGAATGCTTGTGTCTTCTCGTATTTTTGATTGAGTACTGCCGATCTCTCTCTGTTGGGGGGGAGATTAATGCCCCTCTCTCTCTCTCAGCGGTTGTGGTGGTGGGAACGGTTAATGCCTCTCTCTCTCTCAGGGGGAGAGGAGGGGGGGGGCGGTTAATGCCCCTCTCTCTCGCAGTGGGGGTTATGTGTGTGTGTGTGGGTTTTCTCGCTCCTCTGCTTCCTTTTGCCCTCCCTTTTTTGTGGTCGGTGTTGCTGTTTCTTTTTGCAATCTGTGATTGATGCCTTTCTCTTCTCTCTCTCTCCCCCTCTCTGCGCCTCTCTGCGCTTTAGCATTCTGCTGAATGCTTACATGCCTTCCTTAACCTCCGATGGATGATTCCCTCTCGCTCTATCTTCCCTGTCCCTCGTCTCTCCCCTCTCTCTCTATCTTCCCTGTCCCTTCTCTCTCCTCTCTCTTCCCTGTACCTTGTCTCTCTCCTGTCTCTCATGTCTCTCCTGTCTCTCCTGTCTCTCTGTCTTCCCTGTCCCTTGGCCTGGCGCTCCTGGTGGCGTGGGACGGGCATTGCCACGTGGCAGTGACTGAAACGTGGAATGGTACATGGCAATGACTGAAACGTGGAAATGCCACGTGGAAATGGTGCCGGATGCACAAGTGAGACGAAGCAAGGGCCACTTGTGTCGTTGCGATGCTGCTTACTGTGCCCTCCGTTGCCTTGTGGAAATGCCACGTGGCAATGCTGCAAGGACATTGTACTGACGCTTGTGATGGCGGTCACTCACGATTGAATAGGGGCGAGATGATTGCCATGGTTGACATGTGACAATATACATGGCCATGGTTTATGTATGTGTGTATAGTAGAAGCGCGTTCGCTGGAAGACGACGTGAACAGGTGGAAGACAGAAAAGAGAACATGAGGAACAAGCTGCACGATGGTACTCTTGTCTCTTATGTTGTTTCTGTTTTCTGTTTTTTGGGCTTTTGTGTTTGGATGTTTTCGCTTTTCGGTTCTCCAACACAAATTGATTGGGCAGTGTACACACCCTGAAAGAAACAACGTGTGGAGCAGAGGGAGGGCGAGAGAAAATGAGAGAGACACAGAATGAGAGAGAGAGAGAGAGAGAGAGAGAGAGAGAGAGAGAGAGAGAGAGAGAGAGAGAGAGAGAGAGAGAGAGAGAGAGAGAGAGAGAGA